GTAAGAGTTTAAAAAATATAGATAATCCAAAAACCGTGTAATTTCAACAGAGGGCTCCCCGCGTACCATAGTTTGAGAAGCACTAGGTTAGACTAAGAATTTCACAATTGTGGCACGTCAATTAGAACCTTCGGATCCCACATATTTTGATAGCCGCTATCTGCAATGGTTACTTTCAAAAATGCGCTGTTCATACTTACGACGCTTTACTGATCTACAATAGACTCAGCTTAGTAAACCCACCAGGGTTAAAATTCAAATTGGCGCATATATGCCCTTGATATTCGATAAAATTGTACAATTGTACAAAGAAAACTGTTGAGTCCGAAGCACCAAGAGTATATAATCAAGGGTAGATGTTGACATTCAACACTTGTCACTCACCAACTGCGGCCGTAAATTTGCCTAGACGCCCAGCGAAATTTTGGAATATTTTCAAAATTCGATATTACTCTCGTTATACTACATGTTTCGCGAATAAAAGCGACGATACGCTCTACTCCTCCTTAAAATCAATACACAGAAACTTTTCAAATTTTTCATCCGTGCGTGCAGCAGCATGTCGTTGATGCGGCAATAAGAGAGAAGGCAATTGGCGACTTCGATTATAGCAGACAGCTAAGGGAAGCAATTCTGAAGCGAAAACTTTTGTAAACGAATAATTATCACCTGTCGCCAATGTGCGTGTAGCCGTAGACGTCAATGTAGTGCAACGCATGTAGGTACATTTTTCTTCAGCACAATTACACGCAGGGGAAGGCAGAATCACTGAGCGACTGAAGCGTCGATGTGGCGTTAGAAGAGGCCTTGCGACATGAATTGATTTGTTTCATTTCTCGTCAAGCTGGCGTGCGACATGTTTCGGCATTGACTACATAGCAGCTTCAATGAAAACCCTGAAAGTTTTCAATCGTAATGTGTTTACACAATCGTAAAATTTTAATATGGATATGCAATGCATCAACTGGCAAAATGTTCACTTTCTTATTAATACTAATAACAGTGTTTGTCAATTTATAGATCTAAATGTGCATTTGTGTTCATTTCGAATTCGCAATATTATATAGTATACAACTTAAAAGCTACAAAAAAGTGTATTGTTCTTAAACTCGTTTTACATATGTACATATTTTTAGACATTTTTATGTATGTAGTTATTTGCTCAATACCTTCACCGGACACATCTGTGGACATTTGAAAGAATAACTTAAGTCTATCCTTCAGAGATGAACAAAAAAGCATATGTCGACAAATAGTCATAGACAAATGTTTTCTGTAGAAGACCAGCTGCCGTTTTTGTGAAGTGGTAACTATTATGAAAGATTCCTTGTTAAAGGCTCGCAGATGTTCTCACTTTGCAACACAACGGAACTAGGTCGACCTTTTGTTCCTTATGACTTTGAATTGATCTTCATCCTTACCTGATGGGGTCAAACGGACACGAGATTTGGATTCCGCGATGGTAAAAACATAAAGGGGTTTATGGTCCTGTGTTATTTATGCTTTCAATTTTGTTGACTGTTCAGTAACTGCACCTCGCGGATATGTTTCATCTGAGCGTACCTGACTTGTAGATTTCAGAGGAGGAACGTATACGTAATACGCTGCAGGTAAGTTTCCTATCTGTTACCAGCTCTTGTAACTGCGTTCCCAGGTACGTTGGTAATGCCATTAAGATATTCAGCAATTCATTTATAAAGATTTGTTGAAATTCTGACATTGCATATTTCAGTGGGTAATATTTTGTTACCAGCTTATGAGATGCGTAACCAAATTTACCGGTTACAAGGGTGCACAGAATGTAAAAATAGGCTAAACTCGATTGTGCGTGTGGCGATTTTGATATAATAATCAAAGTCAACAGATTTCTGCAAATTTCCATGTACGCATAATCTAAGAAAAATGTATTATAAAGCTAAGTGTACACGGTAGAGAAAAAATGCGAGATTCAGACAACGTCTACGTCCACTCTACGCTCTATTTAGTAAGCTAAATAGACTTTTTGCTCTACGGAGACGTATGGCAAAGTCTTGACAAAGAATTTCATTACAGATTGTTAAATTTTTAAATGGCTACCACATTGAATCGCATATTCGACAAAAGCACACCATTTTAGGTACATTTAGAGCGTAGCCAAATAATGTATCGGGAATCATTGACATCATTGACATTTCAATGGCTTTTCCAATAGCCTGGCAACAGTCGTTGCTTGAGTTATCTGCTGTATTGTCGGAGTGCCAGGCCACTTGCTAAACTTGGTGAATACCTACATATTTATATATGGGGCGTTCCATACCAAAACGGACGGGGTTCACTCTTCACTTTAATTTGTCTCAAATTTTTAGGGTTGATGCATTAATATAAATAATAAATAAATATGACATTTGAGCTTGATTAATATATTTTTAAAAACTTTATAGCACAAAAACCAAAACAAATCGATTTAATAGTTTTCCAAATATCGCGCTCCGCTGATGTCGCGAACTATATTTTCAACATCGTGGCTTTTATATAAATACATATATACATACAACAAGCGTTAACAACAATTCGAGATAGAAAATTAATTTTGGGCGAGAGGTAACTATTGTCTACCGTGTACACAGCTTGAAGAGTACGAGATAGAGAAAAGTTGAGTCCTAGAGTTGCTCTAGCATGTAAACTTAATTGAGAGAGGAGATTTTTATTTCAGTAAAACTCTAGAGAGATTTCTCTACCGTATACGCTTAGCTTAAAAGTAAACGTAAGGTCGGATTAACTTTCAAATAATTGTATATGCTCGTTCGGGATGTTACGCTGTGGATTTTTATCTGTTTCCAGTTAGAAAAATTTATTTTTAATACGATATTGTGGTATCTTATAAAAAGATACATTGCTTAAAACAATAACCATAGTTTGTTCCAAGAGATAAGAGGGGAAAATGAGATTTCTGAAGTAAGTGTGATAAAAAATTTCCTTTTTGGTTGTTGTTGTTTCCAACAAGGTGGGTGTATGATTTATTTTGGAACGAATTTCCGTCATCCTTTGTCAAATTTGGTTTAGTT